TACAGATAGTCTTCCAACAGTTTGAGAATGATTGAAAACTCAAGGAATGCACCCAATTAATAATCTACCCGATTAAAAAATAAGCTTTTTGTATAAACACAGCTTATTTTGATTACTAACATAAATACTACCAACAAGAAGACCATATTCCAAGCCTGATTCATGTACGTTGACGATACATTCGTATTATAGCAACAAACTACAAACAAGATACCAGAACTCATGAACCACATAAATACTAAACATTCCACGAAGTAATTCAAATAGAAAAAATATAAGAAACTTCTTTTTCTAGACGTATTGACCACAAAGACATATAACACATGTACAAAGTGTGGAGATTGTCGTCATAAACTGCATAATGTCTAGAATGAAAAGACTTGTAATACAAAATATTATAGTAATGGTTGGAGACGGCTTGAATGGGTAATGAAGAAAAACTTTAACATAAGTTTAACATAACAGCAAATGTACAAAGTTTCGACAAGGTTTTATCATCATGATAGATATACGTTCATATTAATTTAAAGATTTCAGTATTTTTGATATAGATTAACTTGATATATACAGTTTCAAAGCACATGCAAAATAATACAATATGATCTGGATCAGTTGATGAATTTGTTAACATGTGCAATTGTTTTATGGATATTTGATATATGACTTAACTGCAGTGTATGGTTAGAAATTGAAAGTTCTGTATAATTTTTGTGCATGTACACACATTAAAAAATATTGCTTTAATAATTTACCATATGAGAAGCGAACTATGTTAAATAATATTCCATTTTACATCTAAAGAAATTCTACATTATTTATTTCAATAACAAAAAGATATGTAAGTAGAGGCTTCTAATGTGATGTGTGTCACCCATAAAATTTCTGTATTTAAATGGATAATTTATTTAACCCCATCGCCCCGGATACCCATTACTGCACATTACACAAGGTTTTAGTGTCTTACATTCAAAATTTTATTAAACTAATTTTTGTTTATGTTATGCCAGTTAGAATAGCATGTAATCTAAGCTAATAATCCATATTTTCATAGTATACAAGTTTTAAGTTCTTAATTCTACAAGGCAGTATTTAAAAAAAGATCTTGAATTTCCAATAGTGTGACCCACGTGACACATTTTCTCTTAGCATGTCATCATCCCTATTTTATCCAACACCTCTCAAAAAGGTATGAAATTAAATGTAAAATACTCTCTATAAAATTATTATTACTCAAACAAACCATAATTTTTAGAGCCTTCAATTTTGTTTGGTTACAGAGCTATTGAATAGAAAATCAGCCCCCTCCTGACCCACCCATCTGTCACACCCACTCTTTCACAATTCATTGATAGTTCTCTCTTACGTTTCATTATATATTACCTATAACCAATAGAAAGTCAAGATTTTCGTCTATCAAATGACATATTGTTAACATTGTATTCTGAACAGAATATCATTAGTTTCACTCACAGTACAAGATTCGTTCTCATGGGACAGTTAACGACTAGCTTAGATAAATTTGTAATGGTTCTTGTCGCGTAGTTAGAAAGCCAGGAAATTTTTGAGAGGTAAGTGAATTTGTCTATGTTTTGCATGTTATTAGTCTATATTCTTTGGTGCATTATTCACTTAAATAAAAATTATTAAGTACATTACTATCTATAGTATAAAAGTTAGGGTTAACTCTCTTCGAAAACCCGAGAGCAAGAAAAAAGAATATTCGATAAGTACTTTATTTTTTGTTTTTCATATTTAATCTTTATTTATTAGTGTAAAAGTAATTAAAATCTAAAAATACAGATCTTTTTAAGTTATTTAAGAATATATTAGGTAAAATAAGTAATAGTGTAACGTGAACTGCACATTCCCAGAGTGATTTACAACTAATAATGGAGCAGATAGTAGTTAGACATCGTTCAAAGGGCAATATAAGAGTAAAATTTAATTATAAATAAATGTATAATATTACAAACTTAAAGCTACTTAGGATGAACGAATGTAGTTTCATGTTACAATTTGAAGTCATTCTAGAAAGGGTAATTTACGCTTACTTCATTTTTTTTTCTCTTAGATGGTTATGAGGTCGGTCGAATTGACTGATCCTGTTTTGAGATAAGGTAGAGGAAATAACAGATAAACTATCAAGTTTTACTGAAAAAAAAACGTTTGAAATGCATTTAGGAGGTTTTAGGGATTACACAAAGGAAATTTGAGATTTTTGAGTATGAGGAAAAGTATTTTTAGTTTTAACATGAAAATTACTTTGCACACGGACTATTCAATACAAGTACT